CAGAACCTCCATTCCATTGCTCAGCACCTCGACTTAGATGCATGCATAGAAACCCGAGCACTTCCGGGTTGTTCCTGGGGGCAAATCAAGAGATCATGATGATCACCACCAGCGCAATGGCTCCAATTCTCCGTAATACCTGCTATTAACGTGGTTCGTAGTTTTTTTGGGGCCTAGTTGTAGTCACAGTGGGCATTTTCAGCCTTATTCAGTCTTCCGTTTATCTCCATCACATTGCTGAGATACGGGGGTCCAGTCTAGCGCGAGTTCAATCTCATGAGCAGGTTGCCACCACTCGAGAAACACCACGTACAAGTGTAAAACCGCAGCGATGACACAGGCCAACATCCCTGCCACTGGACCGATTCCGTGGTACAGCTGTAGACGATGGAGTAGCGAGCTGTCTGGAAGTGCGCACACCTTCTCGTACACTTTCTCCGTTCTCACCGCGACAGCATCCCAGTTGTACATCTGCGCTACTCTTTCATGAAATTCCTGTCGATCGACGCCTGCAAGTCGCGGTACAGCAGCCAAAACCGCTTCAGCCAACGCCTCTGGCGTGATTTCCGCTGCAAACTGCACCATATCGGGTGGCAGTACTTCTGGAACTCCTCCGACTTTAGTGCTTACAACGAAGAGCCCACACGCTGCGGCTTCTAGAATGGCGATACAGAAACTTTCAGTAAGTGAACTGTTAAGGAAGATATGGCCCTGACACAGAACATCTCGCACTTGAGCGTGGGGCACTGCTCCATACAGCGTCACCCGGTCGTGTAGTCTGTACTTCTCTCTCATCTCTTCAAGCAACAGCCTCTTGGCGCCATCACCTCCAATTAGGAATCTCACTCTCGAGTCCTGTGCACACACGAGCGGGATCGCCCGAGCCACGAGATCAATCCCCTTCCGATACACCAATCTGGAGATGATAACGACCGTAATAGGGTCGTCTGGCTTGCGTGGTGCAGTGACTGGGGGTGTGAACTTGGTCGCATCCACTGCATTAGGGATCGTCGACACTTTGTCCGGCCGTAGTGAAGCGCGTAGCACCAGATTCTCTCGACAGGTGTGGGAGACTCCGATGGCCGCGTCTACTGAGGACATGGAGAACTTCATGACTTTGTTCAGGTGGACGCTGGCTGCGTCTGCGAAGCCGAATAGCGAGTGGTCAGTATACACCGTTTTAATGCCCAATCCGAGCGCTTTGGCCTGCAACAGACACTCGTGCATGAAGGTGGATGTGGCCTGGTGGCCATGTACGATCTGCACACGTTCACGCACGCAAATAGCACGAAATAGCGCCAAATGGTTGATGAACGTTGGATACGTGACGTTGTCCACGATGGGGGTCACTGGGAGGTAGTAGACTTTGAGTCCGTGCGTCATGTAGCGCACACCAGCGCGGCGCGTGGGCGTCTGGGCGTTAGATGGACCCGACACGGCGTGCGTGAGCACGATAACCTTGTGGCCGCGACGCAGTAGACACTGGGACAGAGACCACATGTGCATCTCTACACCGCCCAGTCGAGGGAAGAAGAAGTCGCAGCACATGGCGACGCACAAGCGCCGGTCCGGCGACGTTGTCATTTTGCTCACAAGTATCTACCGTTAACCACATGTACCCATTGTTGAAGGATTTCTAACCAGCTTCCAAGATTTCTAAAATATTGAACATGGGACAATTTCTAAACAATCTACCGTGAAATGTATCTCCTAAGCTGTAAATGGTCACACAAAAAAAACTCGCTGATTGTCGTAGAAAATGCTGTCATGTTTTAACTTTTTTTAACCACCAAAATGCTGTATTCTGTCATGTGGAAACGCCGAAAATCGTGAGTTGGTAAATGTTTTTTGTCGGCAAAGCCGAAAACTAATTTTCTAGAATTAATTCATGGTAAAACGACTAAAATTTACAGTGAGCGTAAACAAAGTCGTGCTTCGCCCGAGGAAGCGATGGTATTTAGCAAGAATGCTCTCAAACCTGTTTAAAGGCTGGAAGTTTTAACCAACGGTATCTGTTTGGGTAGACTGGTCAAAGTTGAACAACCTGGCTAAACGAAAGTATTACCGAAGGTGCCTATACGAACTAACGCCAATCAAATGAACACTTAGTTTTGCAGTGTTCCTTTTGTACTAGTCTCTATAACCTCAAAGGCCAGTCAGTGCCGGTCCGAAACCTCTAAGTTCTGCATTGCGAAGGGAGGCCGCAAATAATAAATCCTGTCTGTTTCCACCAGTCACGAAAAGTTAAATGTCATATACACACGTTTGAACGGTTAAGGTATAGTCGTTCCAGGAGGAGATCGAGTCCTACAGACGATGTCGACGACTGTCACGACCGCATTGAGAAAATCGACGAATTTGTGCGCGAGCTCGAGGCTGGTAACGTGCACACGGTGAGCGATACCGCGGCCACGCTAGCCGAGATAACCAAGGAGCGCCAGGGGGAGAAGAAACTGTTGAAGATGCTGGACGGCGCGCGCGCGAGCCACGAGCAACAGGTCGAGCGTCTTCAAAACCAGTCCGCAGTAGTCAATTCGTAGCCTCTTCAGCTGACCAGGACTCGTTTCAAGATCTGTTGCCTCGTCCCCCGCAATAGTGTCTTCTGTGACAGAGTCTCGCGGTTTTCAACCCCAAGATGATGTAAGGTGCTTGCGAGGCGTGGCTCAAAATGTATTAGCTATCGTACAATGGAAAAATACTACCGCATATCTACCACACACCGCCCAGGCGTGCTTTCTGCATTGCATTACCATAGCATCACTTGAAGCTACGAACAACGTCCACTCACTGAGAAATTATCGTTTTCTCCGGCGCTACTGAAAAAACCTTATCACCTGCACTTATCCGCAATCCAGAAAGGTATTAGTTTGCGTATTCGCAGTTGGCTCTCATGGTAAACGACTGTGTATCGAAAAAAATTTGGCACACACGATTTTCAGTTTTTCATCATTATTTGAGATAATTGGCGTGAACTTAACGCACACATGAAAATTTACACATGAAACAATACCCACCCAATCCAGCTAGAAAAAAACACCTCGCCTAATTTAGATACCAAGGTGGTGCGTCTATTGAGATAAATTGCCATTATTTGCAGACTTGTGCGCCAGGGAACCCTCTACGTAACTTCTTGTTACTATCGAGTGCCTTATAATCTTTTGCAACCACTTATGATTTACCTAGCGTTGCTGCAAGCATGGAGACATGCTTAGCTCGCTGCACGTATGTAACCGAATAAGCTCGTATTGTCGAGTTTGAACGCGACATTCCGGCTTAGTTACTTACAAACAGGGTTCCGTAAAATATTATTTATATGGATTTTCTCCTCTAACGCGAATAGATACCTGCATGGTGCTTAGTAAATCTGCAAATAAATA